AATATTGAAAACTATTTATAGATGCCTCAAGAATCTTATTTATAATTACAAATCTAACAAAAATCAAAGAAAAATTGGCCAGTGAAATCCCGCAACAGCTACAAAAGAACCAGGTTAAACATAACAGCACAAGCCTCAAATTCAGAGTAGGTAAATCTGCAATTTATGCAAACCAGCACAATTCAAGGCATGCGGAAACAGCAGGCATGTGTTCAGCTACCCATAACTATGGACTTCCATAACAGCAAATTCCAACCATATGAACCAAACAGCAAAGTCCCAAATCAACTCATAGAAGCAAGCTTAAGGCCCAAATATCACAAAAAAGCAAAGGTGCAAATCAACTCATAGTAGCCATCTTTAAGGCCAAAAACAGCAAAGAATAGAGAACTAGTGGCTAGGCCAAAGTACCCAAGCAATAGAGAGCCAACGGCTAGAGCAGAAGTAACAGAGAATCAAACTAGGGAGGAGCACACAACACTTGTTCTCTATAGGGATCATCGGCATATTTATCAGAACAATAATAAACTACTACAGAAAACAACTACTTAAATAGCATAACTAATGTAAAATCACTATTCAACCTGTCAATTTGCTCATTTAAAGCACATTTTCTGATTTCCTGATAAGTATAACTTTAAGATTTGCATCATTTCCTGATCATAATCTCAGCAATTTAGAATTTGCTTATACATGTCATCTCCAGAAAAACCTGAATCATCTCCCTCTACACGGGTTGAAAAGTAATCTTTACTGGCATATGTATCCTCTAGTGAGCATGTGTGCACTTATCAAGGAAACTGCTTTTAAACACTTTTAACCATAGTTAAACTAAGACAAATCTGGCATAGTTAGCTATATACAGTAGCTCGTATTTGAATATTGTTAAGAAAAGAAAACAACTTAAGAAGAAAGCACTTATTAGAATGATAAGAACAGAGAAAACATACCAGAAATACTTGTTTGGAACCATGTGCTAGAGAGATTAGAGTTGCAGGTTCAACCTGTGAAAGAGAAGGAAAATATCAACACGATTAACAATGGCTGTTTAGTAAAAAATTAGACTAATTACTTGTATTAACACATAAGATTGAACAACCCGGTGACAAGAGAATATGACTGATTAGGTTCTCTTTATGGATGGTGGGAGAAAGGATACATTTACATACATGTATGAGGATGGAAGAGAAATATAAAAAGATGCATATGATTGCATCCCTATTCTGCTACTCCCCAACCCACCTTAATCCATCTGAACATAATCTGATGTGATGAAATGGATGGCGCATCTTGTGCAAGAATAGAGGATCCTACAAGCTTAGGATAACAAGACGGAAAATTTCTGTGACAAAAAATGTTCAGTGCCCATTCAACCTACTAAATGTTCAGTGCACGTATCATTTTAGGTAGTCATGGTTCCATGCTTTGAATGTGACATATTTTCGTAAGTACAATATTTATGTGATAAAGATCAATAGGAGAAAGATCATTTTAAAACCTATAAAACACAAGCACAACCTTTCATGTCAAAAGAATATAATGGTTCTAATAAATTGAAGAAAAATTTGCATATTTCGAATCAGCATGTTTTGAAAGGAGGCTGATGTGATACAATCAAGAATTGCACGTGAAATTTAT